TTGCCCCCACGCCTTCTCTTCATCTGCAAGCACATTATCCAGCATTCATTGCCATATTGAAGAACTGATATTGCATCCAGCATAGCTTTCGTCTTTCGCTATTCCAATGCGCATTCGGATTTCAGTGCCACACTTTTCGTTGCCAGATATTTAAATTGCTTTTTTTTAAATCGAGTTCACCTCATACAAGGCAATAAAGTCACTGAGATACAAAGGGTTATTGGGGTGTCGAAGAATTAGAAACAGAAACATCACTAAAGAGCGAGAACAAAAGAAAAAGAATCAAGAGGACAGTAGATAGCGATTGATATTGCATTTGAATTTTTGCAGATTAAATTTGGCTAGAAAACATGGAACCAGAAGGGAGTTCCACAAACGAGAAGTGCGGGAAAAGAGACTGTCACCATAGAAATAACGGTTACATCTAGCCAACTCAATTTCAAATTGATGAGATCCCGACACCAGTCTAGTACTGCGCTTAAATTCAAAAACTCTAGTTATCAAAGCGAAGAGCTCATCTGAACAATTACCATGAAAGTATTTATAGAAAAGACACAAAGAGACAATTTTACGGCGCTGGATGGGGGAAGTAACTGAAGCCGAGACACCAGAACAGGACCAATAATATTGCGTATTCTTCATGGATTTTATCAAGAATCTCTAAATATTCAGCAGGAGCCAGTAAATTGATGAGATCTCGACACCAGTCTAATACTGCGCTTAAATTCAAAAACTCTAGGTACGAAAGCGAAGAGCTCATCTGAACAATTACCATGAAAGTATTTATAGAAAAGACACAGGGGCGACAACCTTACGGCGGTGCGAGAACGACTGAAGCCGAGACGCCAGATCAGGACCAATAATATTGCTGATACTTCTTTGGACCATATGTGTCAGCAATATTCTAAGCATGGACGAATGGTAAATTTATAGATATGTAAGATAGATTCTGGAGAGAATAAGTTGCATTGGTTTTGTCATTTCCAATTCGTTAATTTGCATCTTAGTCTGTTCTTCTTGCTGACACCGTACATTCTGTCTTCTTACAATTGATAGTTAGTCCTTTCTTCTCGCTTTCCTTTAATACATTTTTGGGGGAGTCCCTATAGTTTCCTTTCTATGTCTGCTATCAGCACTATATTGTTACAATAGACAATCTAATTAATTAGAAATGGTTTGTAAAATTTGTCTTGCAACCACAGATTTGTAGACCGCCTTAGTTTATAGACATGTCATTTGTAGAGGGTCGAATCATTTACATTCCCTTTGTAGTCAATAGTATAAAACACGTTGTTTGATTGTTAATCTTTTAATGGTTGAAATTGCCAAAGACTTAAGCTGTTAAATCTGAAAGAAAAGAAAAAAAATCATTAGACGCTTAAACTTAATTCACATTTAAAATCGGTCTAAGTTATTAGAACATCCTTTATATCCTTTTATATACTCAATGTCACGTGTTAAAGTTTCAAGTGTGCAATTGGAAAAATTGTTCGTAAATTCAAACAAACTTGGTCGGTGGAAGATGTGAAAACACCATTGCATGCTCATTTATGCTGTTCAGTTCACGAGAATCTGGCTGAAAATCCAGACCCCTCTATTCGTCATCGCGCGCAGGAACTGAACCTCTCCACAACAACGTTACATCGTTTCCAATTGCACTCTCGGTTTGTCGATCATGTTGACCAAAAAAATCGCGAAGTATCGAAATGCATTTCTGTTAGAACGTCCATTTTTAGGCTCCGATAAATTTAACACGGTGTTTGATTGTTAATCTTTCCATGGTTGAAAATGTCAAAGACTTAAGTTGTTAAATCTGAAAGAAAAAGAAAAAGAAAAAGAAAAAATATCATTAGACGCTTAAAATTAATTCACGTTTAAAATCGGTCCAGATTATTGGAACACCATTTATTTACACTGCATGCCAAATTATTATCGAGATAACTTTTTTCTAATATTTCAAAAACCGTCCAATCGATTCACACATAATTTTCGCACAATGTTGGCAACACTGACCTGCGTAATCACTGAAATTTTGCTGATCACAAATATGTTTGTTTACATTGCGCAGATCAGTACGAACATTTGCTAACATTGTGTGATGAATTATTGGTGATTAATTATTTTCAAACTTACAGTCCCTTTCTTCGCAAGCCTCTTCATATTCTATCGCTATTTCCATGGCAAATGTTCTGACGAGCTATATTCCTTAGTTCCACTAGTTCAGACCTTTGCATCTAAGACTCTTGATGACATACGATATTTCATCACATTTTCAAACCGACAGTCCCTTAAGTCGCAAGCCTCTCACCAATTTTATCGCTATTTCCATGGCAAATGTTCTAACGATCTACATTCCTTAGTTTCACCAGTTCAGAACTTTGCATCTAAGACTCTTGATGACATATACAGTGTGATGAATTATTGGTAATTAATTGTTTTCAACCCTACAGCCCTTTTCACGGAAAAGATGTAAAAAAAAACACTATCGCTATTTCCATGGAAAATGCTCTGACGAGCTACAATCCCTAGATTCACCAGTTCAGACATCGACATCTAAAACTTGCGAGGCCACATACACTGTGATGAATTATTGGTTATAAATTATTTTTAGACCATACAGTCCCTTTCGTTTCAAGCCGCTCGCTACTTTATCGCTATTTCCATGGCAAATGTTCTGAGGAGCTATATTACCTAGTTCCAACTAACCGTCACAGCGAATTCCCTCCATGACACGTACTCTCGACCGAACCAAGCTTATTCCTTTCGTATTCCATTTGTAAAAAAGAAGTTCCACTCTAACAATTTCTTCCTACGGATCTCTACTTTGTGGAACAGACTCCCAAGTGGATACTGGAAAAAGGGTATGTTCTCTGTGTCACTCCAATATGTGCCTGACTCCTCCCCTAACTTCTTTTTTTACAAGAGACGGTTGAGACCGTAAATTAAGTACTGCTGCTATATTTGGGCTGGAGCTGCACAATCTTCACTCACCAGACTTCACAGTGTCCAAAACCGTCTCCGGCCCTGTTTGGGTCATGAATTGTTTTCCACCTTATAACCCTATTCCCACAGACGAAACATTACTGTGTAAAATGTGGCGAACCACTCTCATTTCATACGTATCCCTTTTAGTAAGTTCCACTCGCATAACGTCTTCCCAAGACCGTTGTGGAACAAGATCCCAAGAGGATGCTTTCCCGACCGCTACGATCTCAACCTCATCAAGTCTAGGAGTAACCGTTACCTTTCACACATGTCCGCTTAATCTGTGCCCCCTGCTCTTATTGCTCACACAAACACCACCTTCAGTAGTCCTCTACCTTGAGTGGCTCTTTCGTCTTGTATGTGGCAAACATAAAAAATGGAGAATATAATCACATAATAATTGTGCTTGTACCTCTCTGCGTTAGTTTGCATGAGCGTTACGCCCCGTCAAGACCTCGTAAATAATGGACTATTCCGTTTTGATCGCATGCAATGAAAGGTAAAGACACTACTTGGTTTCAGTGAGAAAGAAAGAAAGAAAGAAAGAAAGTGTTTTGGATCCCGAGATGAAATCCGGTCTCCAATGAATGACAAACGCAGGAATGAAATATAACAAATAAATGTATTTACACAATAATACAATTGCTAATACGGTTAGTAGATCCAGAAACGCGGTTAGTAGCAATAATAATAATAATAATAATAATATATATATATATATATATATATATATATATATATATATATATATATATATATATATAGTCTGGTAAATCCAGTCTCGAAGTAGGACTTCCTTAGAGTCTACGTGCTTGTAACTGTGACTTCTACAAGCGGTTACCTCACACTATTACTCTACCTCCAACTCAATCACAATCACTGACTCTGAGTATTTAACGGCAGCAGTCCGAGTACACACTGGTAGAGTCCACTTGTATGAAAAAGGGGTGGACCCCATAACAGAAAGAAAGAAAGAGGGAAGATAGAAGTGTTTAACGTCTGCTTAACTGAAATTTAAAAAAAAAGGCAATTTCAAATCTTTTCATTTGTACCCCCTTACTTCATGAAATAACGACCAGCATTCATATTTATGATTGTTATTGCAATATTTTGTTAAAGTTGTTAAGCTCAAATATTTAAAGATGTCACCGGGGAATCTCTACGGATATTCCATTGTCATAGAACTCGCCCTGAACTTATTCACACATTAACTTAAGAAATTAAAATTCATTAAAATATTAAAATAAGAAAACCCGTGAAATTTCCACGGGTCTTTCTAGTGACTATAATAATGACAAAAAAAAAAAAAAAGAATTGACAAAATTCTAGTTATTGATTTCTGAATATCTTTGGTAATTCCTAAAACGAAGGCATGAATCTAAAATATCCTGTATGCAGTAAAAGTTTCCGTTACCATAATCCAGTAAATCGTGCCAAAATAAATCCCCAAAAAGGCCTTAGAATATTTGCGCGTGTGTATCTATATAATCATGTGTGCGCATGTATACGTAATTCCACGTCGATGTGTATACTTTTCTATGTATGTGTGCGTGCGTGTGTTATCAAATTTCGATGTAGTTTTGAAAGCTACTTTGAGAAGTTGATAACACTTCCTTCGGTGACACCGGATGCTTGCAAGGATTAACGAGTCACGTGACTTAATCTCCCGCCATTTCTGAAAGATGTTCGGCCGTTTCTAAAGATTAGTGGGTAACGTTTTGTATGACATGACAAGAAAGAAAGTGGCTAAGAAAGAAAGAAAGAAAGAAAGAATATAAGTGGCTAAGAAAAAAAAAGAGAAAGAAAGAAACAAACAAACAAATAAAGAGTAATTAATAAAAGAAAAGACAAAAAGTCTTGGAAAGAAGTAAAAAATAAAGGAGAAAAAGAAAAGAAAGAAAGAAATGAGCGAAGTGACTAAGGAAAGAAAAAGAAAGAAAGAAAGAAAGAAATAGAGGGTAATTAATAAAAGGAAACATAAAATGGCTTAAAGTGATAACAAAAAACAAAGGGGATTAAAGAAAGAAAGAAAAAAGAAAGAAAGAAAGAAAGAAAGAAAGAAAAAAGAAAGAAAGAAAGAAAGAAAGAAAAAAGAAAGAAAGAAAGAAAAGAGAAAGAAAAAATAGAGAGTAATTAATAAAAGGAAACACAAAAACACTTTTAAAGAAATAACAAAAAACAAAGGAGAAAAAAAGAAAAGAAAAGAAAAGAAAGAAAGAAAGAAAGAAAGAAAGAAAGAAAGGGAAGTTAAAGAAGAAAAAAGAGAAAGAAAAAGAAAGAAAATTAAAGAGAGAAAGCATAGGACAGATAAAAGAAAGCAAGAAGCGGAAAACGAAAGAAAAAGAAAGAGAAACAAAGAAAAAGAACAGAAAGAAAGACAAAAAAAAGAACGCCAAGAAAATAGATAATGGCGAAAGAAAGAGAGAAATTGAATAAAAAAAAGAAATATGAAAGGAGTGAATAATAAGAGACCCCGAAGTGTGAGAGAGAGAGAGACAGAAAGACAGAGAGAGAGACAGAGTCAGAGAGAGAGAGAGGGGAGAGAAAGAGAGACGAATAAGATAATAAAGGGAAAAATTAGAACCAAAAAAACTAGTCTTGGAAAAGAACAAATTCTAAGCGGAAGATTAGTTGTGAAAGAAAAAAAAAAAGATGGCGAAATAATAGAAACGATGGCAGGGGAAAAAGGAGATTAAAAATGGAGCGGGGAAAAATGTAGGAAAGTTGAGCGGATGTCGGAGAAAAAGTGTCAAAATATGAGAACATGTCAGAAGAAATAGGCAATATTAAGACACGGACATATTTAGGCACACAAATATATTTTACAATCTTAATTTATCAGTGCCAGAAATGGAAAGATGTAATCGGAAATGTGAGAGAGGAAAATTTAAAGAATAGGAAATGAAAAACGTTCTGGGGGAGGAGACGAAGGGATTTGACAGTTGCTTTAAAGGGAGAAAGGACAGAAAACGCTGGACAGAACTATCATAGATAGATAGATAGATAGATAGATAGATAGATAGATTTGAACAGAATGAGATAGATATGAATAGACTAAGATAAATAAGTAATGGAAAAACTGAGATAGATAGATAGATAGATAGATAGATAGATAGATAGATAGATAGATAGATTTGAACAGAATAATATATATATATATATATATATATATATATATATATATATATATAGAGAGAGAGAGAGAGAGATAGATGAATGGATAGATAGATAGATAGATAGATAGATAGATAGATTTTGCCCAGAATGAGATTTGCCCAGAGATAGATTTGAACAGATGAGATATATATATATATATATATATATATATATATATATATATATATATATATATATAGAGAGAGAGAGAGAGAGAGAGAGAAAAAAGATAAATAGATAGATTTGAACAGAATGAGATAGATATATAGATAGATATATATTTTGAACAGAATGATATATATATATATATATATATATATATATATATATATATAATTATATATATATATATATATGGAGAGAGAGAGAGATAGATAGATAGATAGATAGATTTGATCAGAATGAGATCGATCGATAGATAGATTTGAACAGGATGATATATATATATATATATATATATATATATATATATATATCGAGAGAGATAGATAGATTTGAACAGAATGAGATAGATATATAGATATATATATATATATTTAACAGAATGATATATATATATATATATATATATATATATATATATATATATATATATACATACATGAGAGAGAGACAGATAGATAGATACTACAAAGAGTTCCATGTTATGAGGTCGTGAGTAGTCGCACGGTGGAGTAATGGATAGCGGCTGGGATTGAAGAATTCATTACATTCACTTACGTGCTAATAATACCCTTGGGGAAGGTGTTTATCCTCTTCTTTCACCACCACCCCCAGCTATGGGTAAATAGTAGGACAGATCAGGTTCTATAGCCTTGGATGGCAACTGGTCTGCCGTAGAAAGAAATGGCAACTTACTGCGGGAAAAAATCTACCTCGACATAACTGACTGACTGAGTAGTCGCATCAAAGTCAGTCTCAGACTCCTGACAAAGCGTCTGTCTTCGGGCAAAGCGTGACAAGACCTCCATTTTCGGTCGGAGGGTGACTCAGTCGGGGTTCTGTCTTCGGATAGAGACTCGGCTGAGAAAAACAGACAAGTCGGTGTAAGACAGTTCGTTGTCTGGCTTGCGATTGCCACCCCTGTCTTCGGGCAGAGGGTGACTCACTCTTCGGATAGAGACTCGGCTGAGAAAAACAGAAAGTACTGTACACGAGCCCACTTTTGCAGGGGCTGGGTAAATTTTAACCAGTGGCCCAGGTGTAAACGCCCAGGTTCCCCACATAAAACTTGACCTTGTGTCGCATCTATTCCGCAGTGGGGCGACCGGTAAATACCAGTCGCATTGGAGGCTGGCAGTTCGCTGCCAGGCTCGTGACAGGCAAGACCTCTGTCTTCGGGCAGAAGGTGACAAGACCTCTCTCTCTTCGGGCAGAAGGTGACTCAGTCGGGGCTCTGTCTTCGGATAGAGACTCGGCTGAGAAAAACAGACAAATTATATACCCGAGCCCGTCTTCGCGGTGGCTGGATAAATTTTGACTAATGACCCGGATGGAAACGCTCGGGATTCCCCACAACCCATGTCAGTTGGGGGACTGAGCAGGTATCAGTCGTTTTTTAATTAGTCTTCATACTAAATATACAGCCGTTATGGCAATAGCCGAAGCATTACGTATAGAGAATACTTAACAAATTACGTTATTACAGGTCCGAGTATGTGTTATAACAATAACCTTAAAATAGGAAGCAATGATAGTTAGATAGATAGATAGATAGATAGATAGATAGATATGAACAGACTGAGATAGATAGATAGATAGATAGATAGATAGATAGATAGATAGATAGATATGAACTAAGATGGAGAGATAGATTTTTGTTGTTGTTATTACAGCGTTTCTGTCGTTGTACTCTTCGGCCTTTATCAGGTATATGTTACACGGATCGACATATACCTGATGAAGGACGAAATAGATTGATATGAACGGAATGTGATACACTCTTGTGAAAATTAATTGAAACAACCGGTTTATTTTCCTTTCTTTCACTATTCGGTCAGTTTTAAAATCTACTGGAGTGACAGGGTGTAATTGATTTCTATTTTTTCCTCAGATTACGTCATTTGCAGTGGTGTGAAGTAATATGAATCTATTTTCGGGGTGTATGATGAGATTTGTTTGGCTTGAAAAATATTGAGTCATCCGTGATTGCATCAGATTTTTATCACACCAAGACACTATTGTCCAGACTGTCGATTAATTGTCCTACGGCCATTGTCTGCTATGTATGTTACTCTAAGGAAGCGTACGAAAATTGTAATGCTGTACGAACACACTGGCACGCAGTGAGCAAATCAAAGTATAAGACTGGCCCGGAAACTCTCATGATTTAAATCCAATCGAGAATCTGTGATTAATTTGCAAAGAACGACTTCGTAGAATGGACACACGAAGTACTAATATGTGCACTGGGTCATATTTCATTGGAAAAATACGAAAACAAGTAAATAATAACGGAATTATTCGTTTTGTTTCAATTAATTTGCACAAGGGTGAAGTGTTCGAAACGTTTTGATAAAGATAAAGTCCTTTAATTGCTAAGTAAATTTAAAATTCACTCCAAAGATTTCCCTAATGTTGCACAAAATATGGCGCCGGTAACATTTAAAAATACTGGCGAAACATTTTTCTTATATTTATAAAGATGCAATGTTTCACATGCCTAAGGACATGTTAATAAAATAAAATAATTTAAATAGTATGGTTTGGTTTGACTTGGTTTGTTTTACGGCATATCAACCTCAATAGGTTATTTAATGTCAAGATTTTTATTGCTGCTACTTTTTTTTCCTTCTAAAATATTTCTGGTCATATTTTTTCTTTAAAAATCTATTGCTGGTAATATATTTTTTTGAAATATATATATACCTGGTAATATTTTTTTCTACAAATGTATAGCTGGTAATATTTATTTTCTTTCAAAAATATATTGCCCGTAATATTTTTTTCTCCAAAAAACGTAATGCTGGTAATATTTTTTTTTCAAAAATATATTGCTGGTAATAATGTACTTCTGGTAATAATTTTTTCCTTCAAAAATTTATTGCTGGTAATATTTTTTCGCAAAGTATTTCTGGTATTAAAACCAATTTTTACACTTTCATAGTATTTTACCCCAGTTTGAGCTTAACTATTTGCCTATAGCTGGGACCCTAACGGGTGCTACCACCTCGGGTCAGGGTGGAGCTGGGAACACCAGCAATTAAGAGGTGGTTCCACGCTCCTCAAAGCCACCTGTACAGAAGACTTGCTGTCTTAATGTATGTAGTTTATCGTCGTACCCAGGACGCGGATGTAGTTTATCGTCTTACCCAGGACGCGGATGTAGTTTATCGTCTTACCCAGGACGGTAATTTAAAAAGATTCACAAAATAACTTAAAATGCATATGTCTGTTTGTTCTTTATTTAAGAGACATAATTATCCGCTTATGTGTGTGTAGAAAAATAAAACCTGTTTAAAAATGAGGGACATCCTGTATTGGGAAAAAAAGGGGAACATCGTTAGTACGTAGTATGAACCACGGCCGGGCTCTGTTGAACAAACACAATTATGCCTGACAAGGCATCGGCAATAGGGACTGACTGACATACTCGGATACGAAAGGCCAGCTATTATAGTAGTCCGTGGTTATGAATGACATGGACACAGTTTCAAATAAAGCCAAACTACTGAGAAATGTTTAGAAAGACAGAGATCAACTTGACACGATGGATAAATTGTCGTCTAAATGACGCAAAAATGAAAATGACACTGACATCTTATTTTAACAGATATATTTACCAAAATTACAGAAAAATATATTGAAATAATAAAGAGTAAATTTATTCAATAAAATCGCCATTGGCTTCGATCACGGCCTTCAGACGACTTCGGAATCTCCTGCATCTCTTCTGGACGGTCTCCTTGTTTAAGTTGGTAAATGCTGCCATAATCCTTGCCTTCAGTTCGTCTTTTATCTTACAAGGAGTTTTGTTGATTTCTCGCTTAAGTGCACCCCACACATAATAATCAAGAGGATTGAAGTCTGGTGAGTTAGGTGGAAAGATGTAAGGAATTATGTGGGCGAAGAAATTGTTTGACAGCCATGATTGGATTCTCCTGCTTGTGGGGCATGGTGCAGACTCCTGTTACTAGACATAATGTCCTCCACCAGCCATCCTCTTGTTTCAGGGCAGCTATATTTAGCTGTCCCCCCACCACGTGGGATTGAATATGGCACAAGGCCGAGTTTAATGTGGGTAATCCGAACCCGTAAGCTCGGCCAAAAATATAGCCATCGAACCAGCCTAGGCGGGTTCGAGAGTTGTCTTAACCTCCCCGAACGAAACCTTGCCCTTCGGCAAAGCTTCGTCCGGGTTCCTCCCTGCTAATGCAGAGGGTTAGACAGACGGCGCTGACTGTAAGTTTGATGCAGCTATTCAGGGCAGCACTACTTCCCTGCCAAATTCAGGTATTCGTTTATTATCAGAACGATCAGAGTGAGTTTTCCGAGCTGCTATGTCATCGAAATCACCATTAGACTCATCCAACTCATTCCAAATCGTCTACACTGTCCTCAGATTGACATCCAAACACTCTGAAATGTTCTTATTGAAGCTCCCGGTGCGAATGCCAAGCAGTACAGCATGCCTTTTCGAAATTTTTGTTGGAGTGAATTGCGTCATGGTGTTCTTTTTCTCACAGACGGGGCCCAACTGACCCTACTATACTGTGTAGTCGGTAAAATAAAAACAAACAATGCGCATGCGCGACATTGAAAATATAAAATGGCGACAATTTACCTATCGCTTCTTGTATTTATAATTAGAATAGATCCCCATTTCTAAAATGATAAAAAAAAATCAATATTTTTCGATTCTAACAACCGTCGTGCTTTGAGGAAATCAAATGAATGCCAGTCTACAAGAATTATTAAAAATAGAATTACACTCTCCTATTTACAAGCAGATAAGTTGACGTCAGTTGTACCCTTTCAGCTATTACTGACCACCTCTCTTGTTACAAATTCGTTAATTAAAATAAAAGCAGTGACAATACCTACCCTGAATCTATCATAAAATTCAGGATGTGGAATTGGTAAATACAGGAATCCCTCGATTAATGCGCATTCGATTAACGCTTTTTCGATTAGTGCGCTAAAATTTTTATGTAAAAAATTCGATTAGTACATAATACTCGATCAGTGAGGTAAAACATTCTTCAATTTAACCATAGTCATTGATTTTTTTAATAATTACTGATTAATTAAAAATTTTCTAAAGTAGAAAATGATTACATTATTTAGACAATTGTCCTCATCTTTTTCGCCAATTTTATTACAACGTTTCGGCCATTGTAGGCTCCGGCCTTCTTCAGGTGGTTGGAATGTCGAACTGAACCCTTTATTTCGCTCACTGGGGTAGACTGTTCTAGTTCCACATGCTATATTTAATGGATGTCAGTTATCAGTTATCTTCTGTTAATTTTCCCTCTGAAAGTTCTCCGCTGCCTTAACTGGGTATTGAACTCACACTCTTTGGGTCATGTCACTGGATCTAACCAACACCTTTATCCACTGTGGATAAAACGGCCGAAACGTTGTGATAAATATGGCGACAAAGATGAGGACAATAGTCCGAATAATGTAAATAATGTACATAGAACCTCATCTCAGAAATATAGACAGATACTGAAAGGCCGAAACGTTGTAATAAATATGGCGACAAAGATGAGGACAATAGTCCGAATAATGTAAATAATGTACATAATACCTCATCACAGATACAGAAAATGATTAATTATTTTGTTTGTCAAGTATTACGTTATTCAAGTAATTACAGGAGTGTTAAAAATGAACGATTATGAGTAGATAAATTTTATATTATAAGCCGATAAAAAAATATATATATTTGAATATTAGTCTCTAATAAAAATTTTAGAATATTTTGATTGTTTTTCATGTGTATTTTTGATTTTTGTTATAAAAATTGTCGATTTAATTAGATACAGATGTTAAAATACAAATGATAATGATATGTTTGGATATTTTCAAAAATAGAAAAGATGCAACTATATTTTAATTAAAAAGTATGCAAATTAGAAATTAATTGTGAATGAGTCTAAAATTTTAGGTAGAAATTGCATCATTTCCTATAAGTTATTATATTCGATTAATGTAAGCATGTTCACTGTTTTCTCGTAAATGAAAAATACCACAAACTTAACTAAAATAAAGTTTTATCGTCAAAATGCTTATGTTATTATTATAATGAAAGACCAAAGTATTTTTAATTATTTTTTGAAATTTTTTAATCCTTTCTAATATGTTCGAAATTTTGGTTAAATTCTTCTTTTGTTTACGTCATCGCGGCGTCACAGAAAATAACATTTTTTTTTTGCGATTTTTTTCCGTTGAAAAGATATTGATTTGGAATTTTCAGGACCTCTGTCGGAATCGTTTTGCCGTTCGTTTTCCTCGTGGTTTAAATATTTTATCAATGCAAATTCTCCCAAGCCCACTTCATACCTCCCCACAGCTTCACCTCTCTCGCCAGTGGAACACCCTCCCAATTACTGATTCCATGAAAGCTATAATCTCCAACTATTCAAATGTAATGTCAATCGACATCTCCAGTTACCTTGATCTACCCACTATCCTTCTCCTTTCCTTTTCTCCTATCACTCTTATCTGCTCTCGCTCCAAACCCCCTGCATCCTAGTGGCTTGCTTGGGGCACAATGCTTAAAAAAAAAAAAAAACTTATTCACAAATCAATGAAATTATTTTTTAAATATTTTTTTTTAGAAAATTTTGGT